GTGTACAGAAAAATTAACATAGTGAAAATGGATGGGAAGGCTTTTTCTTATATCATGTGAAGTTTGATGTCAATTGAATTCATTTTAAGCCTTCAACGGAGCTTGGTATTTGCAGTGAATTTTGGACAATTTGATAGGCGGAAAACCGCACTTAAACCGTGTTTTCAAATTTTCGCCAATTTGTAAAAATTTAATAATCGTCGGAACTTTTAAACTTGATTTTTGAAAATAGTTTACCAAAGGGTATCGTTGGGCAAAATATGAGCAATTCATCAAAATGGTCGTTGACGGACGATTCTCGATCCTAACAGGCAGCCATTCTTAAAACATCTTATATATTTTGTATAAATAGTTTGTACAAATATTTAGTGTAAAAATATTTTGTAGAAATATTCTATCGGTCATCAAAGCAATAAGCATCATCATCCAGTTCACTATCATCTATAAAGCTACTATCATAACTATCACTACTATCTTAATAATCGTCTGGACTATCATATACATGATCGCTATTTTGAATGCTATGATGACGACTATCATCTTAATATATTTGCTGATATTCCATGTATACCAATACATTAGATATAAATCAGAGTTTCCAAGAATTATGATAGCATATGGATTCTAGGAAATGATAGATATTATATGGAAAAGCCAGCGCCAAAATACTGCGTAATATTATCACAACATCACTGATATCTAGTGAATATGCGTTAAAAGCCCCAACTACTAGACTACTATCTTAACTAGATAAACCACTTGCGTTAGATTGTGCAGTTTGAGCAGTGGAACCATTTAAGCTAGTTATGCATTTTGTACAGCTGAACCATTTCAACTACCTCAATCAATTAAGGAAGATGATGTAATCTGTGTAGTTTAACCGTCTTCCGTGGTTTGACTATTCAACAAGTTGAATCAATATAAATAAAGGGGTAAGTTTCTAAAGAAACTGTGGTGCTGCGTCGGTGGGAGAGTATAGCAGGTAATTTAGTGTTAACAACTGGGTTGAAAACGTAAATTAGCCACCGTAAAGAGTAAAAAAACTGACGTTTCGAGCGTTAGCCCTTCGTCAGAGCGATAGACGAAGGGCTAACGCTCGAAACGTCAGTTTTTTTACTCTTTACGGTGGCTAATTTACGTTTTCAACCCAGTTGTTAACACTAAATTACCTGAATCAATATAAATAGTTTGACTATTTTAAAGTCTTCAGGAAACTTAGCTAGCTTAAATGCTTCAACAGCTTAATAAGTCAAAAAAGCAAACACAAATAAAGTGCACAAAGTGCAAAAGTTATTTTTATTGGTGGAAGTAGTTTACATGGTCAAACAAACCTAAATAGTTCAACTGGGCGAATTGAATAATTAGCTTAATTGACTTAACTGCACAATCTAGACAATATAGCTGAAATGGTTCAAATGGCTTAACAGTCAAAGGTCAACTGAGAAAAACTGCACAATCTATCTCAACTCGTTGAAGCACTTGCAATAGTCAAATTAACTTCAATGAATGAAGAGTACAAACTGCACAATCTAACTAAGTTTCTTGAAGTGTTTAAAAAAGTCAAACTATTTAAATTGATTCGACTTGTAAAATAGCCAAACCAGTGAAGACAGCTTAACTGGACAGATTGCAGCATCTCTCCTAATTGGTTGAGGTAGTTGAAATGGTTCAACTTTACAAATGGTTCAAATGCACAAAATGCATAACTAGCTTGAATGGTTCCATGGCACAAACTGCACAATCTAGCTGAAAAAGTTTAACTATTTAAGAGAAGTATATTACTAGGGGCATTCAACGTATATTTACCAGATATCAGTGATTCGGTGTTGTTATTATTGCACAGTAATTTGCGCTGGCCTTTTCTGATAAAACTTATTATTTCCTGGAATCCAACTGTCTTACCAAGTTTGACCATTTACCCAGTTAAGCTAGCATGGCCGTTTGAAAAACTTTGTATATTAAAATAGATTGTGCAATTTGTGCAGTTTATAACTGTTTCAGCTACTTTGACAATTTAACAGGTTCAACCATTTAAGCTTGATTGTGCAATTTGTGCAGTTGATACTTTGAAGCTAGAAACTAGTTTGAGCATTTGACATGGAAAGTGCAAATTGTGTACTCTTCCGGTTTTCGCTAGTTTGATTATTTAAGCAGTTCAACCAGTTAAACTAGATTGAGAAGCTTGTGAAGTTGAACCTATTAAGTTCGTTATGCATTTCGTCCCCCTGATTTTAACATTTAAGTTAGTTTGACTATTTGAACTTGTTCAACCAGTTGAGATAGACTGTGCAATTTGTGCAGTTTAGCTGTTTTGGATGGTTCTATTAGTCATAGTCAAAAACTATGAAATAGTCAAGCCAGCGACGATGGCAAATTGAACAATTTTATCACCGTGGGTTGCAGTAGTTAAAATGATCAAACTACCCTAAAAAGTCCAACAGGACAAAATACGTAATAAGGTTCAAACGGTAAAATAGTCAAACTATTGCAAACAGTAGAACTGCACAGTCTACAGAATCTATGTCAACTGGTTAGAATATTTTAAATGGTCAATCAAGCTTAAATTATGAGTGGACAAAATTCAGAACTAGCTTGATAGGATCAACTGCATAAACTGCACAATCTGGCTTAATTGGTCGAAGTAGTTCACATGGTTTAACTAGCTTGAATGCTTCAATTAAACAAAGTGCTCAATTGCCGTAATCAGTTCAACTGCACAATTTGAACAATGTAGCCCAGATACTTGAACTGGTTTAATAGTCAAACTAAAGTCAACTAAGAAAAATAGCACAATCTATCTCATTTGGTTACATTAAATTCAACGAATAAACGGTAGAAACCGCAAAAACAAGACAGTGAAACTGCACAGATTGCAATATCTTTGTTCATTGGTTTAAGTAGTTCAAATAGTCAAAGTAGCTGATATGACTCAACTAGACAAAAAGCATAACTATCCTATCGATTACACCGCACAAACTGCACAATCTAGCATCAGTGGTTCAACTCCCAAATGGCTTGAGCCATCAAACAAGGGAAAACAGTGAAACGGAAAAAACTGGACAAATTAGCTGAATTGGCTTGTTTGCAACTGAATTGCGCTCTTTTAGCTGTGCCGCAACAAAAGTGCTTTTTTGCCTGTTTGCAGCTAATCACGCTGATTTGAGCTTTATCTCACCTAGTCCAACGTTTTGGCCATTTCTTTGGCCAAATTACGTTTTTCTCAGCTTTTTCGCACCCAAAATGTGTTTTCGTTTGTTTCCAGCTTAATTGGGCTGTTCTGGGCTTAACCTAACGACAAGCAACGTTTTCCTATTTTTTTTTGCTAAACTACTGTTTTTAGCTTTATGACTCTGAAAAGATGTTTTCGTTTTTTTGTCGCTAAATTTGTGCCGTTTTCAGCTTTTTACTCAAGACTAAGTTTTAAGCTTTTATGCAGCTAAATTACGCCCCTTTTAGATTTATCTGACCAAAAACAATGTTTTGCTTGTTGCCACTGAAATGAACTGTGTTTAGCTTTACCACCACACCCAAAAGAGGTTTTCTACCTTTTTTTCAGCTAATCACCTGATGTCGCCCAAACCGCGGTTTTTCCGTTTGCTAAATCAAACTGTTGTTAGCTTTCTCGAACCGGAAAAGTTTTTATTTTGCTTGTTTGCTTTTCAGTTCGGCTAGTTTTAGTTTAAGTGCACTGGAAAAAATGTCTTTGCATTTTGCTAGCTAATCACGCTGGGTTTTGCTTTATCTCACTCAGGATAACGTTTTTGCTTTTGTGCTACTAAACTACACAGTTTTCAGGTTTTTTTCACCGCAAAAAGCTTATCGGCGCGTTTTTAGCTAGTCGCGCTGATTCTTGGTTTATTTTAGTCAAAACAATGCATTTGCTTTTCTGTCGCTGAATTACACTTTTGTTAGTTTTTTATGGCATTGGGAAAACGTTTTCTGCCTGATACAGCTAATCGCGCTGACTTTCGCTGTATCACTGAAAACAAGGTTTTTGCGTTTTTGTCGCTAACTTATGTTGTTTTTAAGTTCTTTTTCACCGAAAACAAGTTTTCTTTCTGTTTACTGCTTTTCACGCTCTTTTTGGCTTTATTGCACCGAGAAAAGGGTTTTTGCCTGTTTGCAGCTAGTCACGCTGATTGTAGCTATCTCTTACTCAGTTTCGTTTTCCTCTCGCTAAATCAAATCGTTTTCAGCACCAAATAAATATCTTCGTTCGTTTGCGACTAATTGAGCTTTTTTAAGCTTTATCGTAACGTATAACATTTTTAGGCTTTTTTTCTGAATAAGCTGTTTTGAGGATTATCACTCTGCAAAAAGTTCTCTGCCTGTTTGTAGCTAATGACGTTAATTTCAGCTCTCTCTCACTCAAAAGGTTTTTCTCTTTTTTTTGCCACCAAATTACGCTGTTTTAAGATTTTTTTTGCACCGAGGATAGGTTTTCGGCCTTTTTACAGTAGAGACGAAAGTAGAAACGTTTTCTCGCTTGTTTGCTGTTGTTATGCTGTTTTTATCTTTCTTGCACTAAAACTGGCTTTTTGGCCAATTTGCTGCTAACTGAATGATTTTAGCTTTATTAGCTTTATTATTATCTTTCTCAAAATAAGATTTTTGCTGTTGTGTTGCTAAATTACGCTGTTTTCAGCTTTTTTTGCATTGGATAAAGGTTACACTTACTTAACCTACTTCCATGAGTTGACATCGCAAAGGCATTGGTACCATCACTTGCCTTACCGGTTTACCGTCGTTTACATGAGGATGCTTGTAGCTCCTGTGCAATACACCACCCCTTTCTTCGAAGCTCACCTCCTGCTTTCCTTTCACTTTAATATCTCTTTGGTGCCAGTACTTCTCCAGGCTTTTATCTTCGCGCTGTAATCTCACAAGCTCGTTTCTATCCACAATTGCACTCTTTGGGCTGCTTGCAACTTTTAGCGGCTTGTGCTTTCCTTCCTTCTTAGCCTGACTCCTGGTGGTGACCGCACATGCCTCTTGCCAACTGGGGTCTGGGTCGTCTGCTGATCGGGTGCCTGCCACATTGCCGATTATTAGATCATAGATCACGTCAGGAAGGCACTGGACTTCAACTTCCCCAGAGAGGTAAGGGGTATCTATTGTGATTCGGGCAATTGGTACCTTCCGCACAGTATTGTCAATCAACAACATACAGTTAAAGTCACCTGTGTACTGTTCCTTCGAGACCAGCTCTTTTTTTCACTACGATACCACTACATCCAGTATCTCTCAACACATCGACAGTTTTGTCACCTATCTTTCCTTTAACAACTGGCATCTTGCTCCTCGCTCCGGATAAAGGTTGAACACAGGCGCTACTCAGTAAGGGGATTTTCTTACCACAGGCTAGAAGGAGTTGGTCACCCTCAATGCATGACTGAATATCTTCTGCCGTAGCTTGTGGTGGAGAAGACTGCACTAAACATCCGGCACTAACCCGGTTTCACGGCATAGATGAACCGTTTTTGCTTTGCCCTCCTGACTTTGGCAATCCGGATTTACAATTTCTTGCTTCATGGCCATGCCTTCCACACAGATAGCATTTCCTGGTAGGACAATTAGCAGACCTATGCCCTCGGCCATTACATCTGTAACAGTACAGTGGTGTTGTATCAGTTGGTGGCTTCTTCTCCGGTGGTGTAAGTGCCTTGTTCTGCCCGGTACTAAATACGTGCTTCCCATGCGCCTCTCAGTAATTATTTGCCTGAGCTCTAGGCCAATGCTTGGTCTGTTCCAGCTCTAAATGCTTCATTTCTAGCTCATGTCTTCTCTGAGCTTCTTCGGCTTCCACCTTTTGTCTCTGAAGCTCTCCGCTTGAAGTTTTCTAATTTCGCACTCTTGTCGTTGAGCTTCCCTCTCCTCATCTTGCCTTCTACGTCTCTCTTCCTTCTCTTCTTCTTCTCTCCTCATTCTCTCTTCTTTCTCTTCTTCTCTTCTCATTCTCTCTTCTTTCTCTTCTTCTTCTTTTCTTCGTTTCTCCTCGCGTTCTTCCTCTCTACGTTTCTCCACGAATGAAAGCAACTCAGCTCCTTCCAGGCCAAATGTTTTTCCTAACTCGATAAACTTCTCCATATCATATGACACACAGTCAACAAATGTCCACACAGGATAACAATAAAACCTTCTTTTACGCAGTTCGGTTCACACAGAACGGTATTTTCACTCGGCCAAGTTTGTCCTGTACCTTTCCTGGTTATGATAGTCCAATAAACAAGTTTCTGCTCTCCCGGACAGGCCCTCAATGTTACGAGTGTCGATGTAGAGCAGGGTTGTTCCTAGACAAAACTCAGGATCGTCGGTAACAACAACAAACTTTTATTTCCACGTACTTAACTTCTTGTTTTTTATAGCACTAAGCTTCCTCGCAAATCTCTCTCTCTGTTCGATGGAACTGTCGCTCTTATATACATAAAGTATAAGAATTTAGAAACTTCTCTAAAGAGTTAAATTTAGTAGATTAACACGGTTTCTAAATTTGAACAATTATGTAAGAAATAGAACGTTCCAGAATGTTCTTTTTACTAGAAGGTCACGTCTAGATGACTTCGGGTTCTAGAACATTCTATTAGAATGTTCTGGGACTTTACTTAGGCAATTTTTCGTAACAAACACTTTTTTGAGCTTTTCCGCACTGGAAAAAGGCTTTCAGCAGTTTGCAGCTAATCACACTGATTCTAGCTTTATGTCACTAACAACATTTTTGCTTTTTTGCTGCTAAACCACGCTCTTTTTTCCTCTAGCACACGTTTTTATCGCTTGTTTGCCATTGAATTAAGCTGTTTCTAGTGTTATTGCTCTGACAAGAGGTTTCTGCCTTTATGTAACTAGTCACATTAATTTCCGCTTTATCTTGCTCAAAACGTTTCGGTTGTTTGCCGCCGAATGTCGCTATTTTTTAGCTTCGTTGCACAGAAATAAGAAATGTTTATTTTTTTCAGTAAAATAGAGCTAAAATTAGCGTTATCAGCTGCTGACATGCAGAAAACCTTTTTTCAGTGCGATAAAACGTCTTGGTGCGATAATGTCAAAACAGGATAATTTAGCAACAAGAAAGCTAAACTGTTGTCTATTCCATTACGTAAAGCTTTAAACAGCCAATTGAGCAACCTCACTTTCTGCCTTTTGTGCGGTTTAACTCTTTCCGCTTTCTGCATTTTTTTTCAGTGGAACTATATTCACTTGTTTGACTTTTTAAACTAGTGATACTTTTTGTCCAAACAAGCCCTAACCCTTAGGTAGTTTGACCATTTCAACTACTTGAACTAATGAAGATAATTTGTCCAGTTTGTACAGTTTATCAGTGCTTTCTTGAAAATTTTAGAAAACTTCGCTTTCTAGACAAGATCTTTAGTGAACAACAAGTCTTTTTATTTCCAACAAAGTTTATGAGGATGTCAAGGCGAATAAAGTAAGGTGAACATTGCCAATGACTAAAAAAGACGCAAACGAGTTCTTGTGTAAGAACCATAGCAACCACGTAGAGCTGCATGTTTTTTAACTTAAAGAATTATTTATTCACGATCAAGAGCGTGATTTATGATAAAACTTGATACATTATAAAGATCAAATGGATATGTGAGAGCTATGTATATCATGCAATTATTCTGCTCTTGAAGATCCGTTTAATCTCGACATGGATTTCAATAATTGAGCCGCTGTTTTTTCACCAGTCTCCGCAAGTACTAAAACATGCACCATTCTCATGTTTCTCCCAAAATCCAAATGCCCTACTTCACTAGCGATCACTGGCAATCGATAGGATCAACTGCACAAACAAGCTAAATTGTTTAAACTCGTTAAATAGTAACATTAGCTAAGACAGGTAAACTGCACAGATTGCACAATCCTTCTTTGTTGATTAAATTCGTTCAAATGGCCGTGCTAGCTTCAATGGTGCAATATAACTAGCTTAAAGGGTCCAAAATCTAGCCCAATTCGTTTAAGAAGTAGAAATAGTCCAACTAGTCTAAGTGGTTCTACATTTTAAATGGTCAGTCTAGCTTAAATAAAAAAAATGCCTGGCTGGCTGAAATGGTTCAACCGGGTAAAAGGCGTGGATAACTAAATCAACTCAACTGCACAAATTTCACATGCTGGCTTAAATGCTCCGAGTGCTTAAGAGTCTCTCTTATTTCCACCCGGTCAATTTTGCGTCAAAAATAATTTTGCCTGAAACTCTGTCAACAGAAATACTTTACCTAGGAAAGAACTAAATTAGATTTGGTTTGATTCGAAATAATTTTCTGACTGCATTAGGGGCCATAATTATTTCCCAGTCTGTAGGGACCGTTGCAACGTCTCGAAAATTGAAAAATAGGCATATTTTGTAACATTGTAAAATATTTGATTCGCATAGTTAAGCGACAGAGTTTATATCAGATTGCTTAAAAACCTTTCTAGTTTGCCAAGAAAGTTAGAATTTGCCCTCTCAATATATTTGAAATGGCGAATTTTAGCATATTCTGACCACTAGAAATCGCCATCGGCCGATGGCCGTAAATAACCTTGATTTAGACATTAAGTTTTGGGTTTTGGGACCTGGTTGATAATTTTTCCTACACAGCCGTTGAGTTCAGACCTTAATAGGCAAAAATATGCAAAAACCCCTGTACGTTTTCGATTTTTCAAAAGTTATGACCGTTTGAATCAGCACATGTATGAGTATTCGCGATTTTTTTCGCCTACACCAAAATCGAACCACTGGAGCAGATTTCGTCATAAATACAGGTTACCTTCGATGCATCTTGGGTTTATGCGAAATTTCAGATATTCCTCATTCCCCAAACTGGTGAACTTTATGATAACTCCGAGAAATAACTCCAAAATTCAGCCGTCGGCATCTATTGATACTCTTCTTTGACCCGTTGTTGCGAACTAAACTCGAAAACTAAAGCCATGTTTCGCGCTTAATGTCTTGTTGAAACTTTGGATTGCAGCTGCATTCTCTTCAAGAATCAGTCATAGAACTCCACTTGTAAGTCTTTGTGTAGAAGTTTGGGGTTTTGGAATTTAAAGCTGAACGATTGCACTATCGTGCATAACAGAGGTCCGCATTAACCATTGCAGGTGAGCCCGCTGACCCTTTATTTTTTTTGGAAGGTCTGCAAGTGTAGTATGGCATGCAAGTGCTTTTTCGAAACCAGAGAGTCTTCAGTCTGTAGTGAGTCAGCTTAAAGGAACGGTACAAGAATATGAGCTTATCGTTAACAGGTCAGGGTTGCCACACGACCTTTACCCTGATCAACTTGAAGAACTTTGGATCTGCGAAAAGCATAGAGGAAACATGGGTAAAAACTGGCGACCACATCGCTCTTGCTAGTAACCGCTGCACAACGGCCGGAAAAAGCAGCTTAATACTAGAGATGCAGTTCATCTTGACATGTCAAGGGAAATTCACACTATCTTTGCGGAACTCGCTCGAACAGGTTCCCGTAAATATGATTTTTATGTAAATTCTAGCTTACCAACCAGGTATTGTCCTGAAATGTGGGGCAAGGTTTAAATTAAGATAATATCTACATATATATTGAGGTGCGGTAAATGTCAGAATTTCGATATCGTGCAAGCTTTGGCCCAAATGTTAATCAAATTCCAAAATACTGAATTTTGACATTTACCGCATATGGAATGTACTTCCCTTTACCGATGCCATAACATTTCCAAACTCTCAGACCAGTATCTTCATATTCGAAGTTGTGGAAGCTACTAAAATGCTCAATCTTATTTATACCGAGAGTGATTCGTCGACTATGCTCACTGCAGCTGTTGTTCCCTTCACTAGGTGTTGCGTCAATGCATCTCTCATGTCTACGGCAGTTAGAACATCGTGCCCTTCGTTGCAGTAAGCAGGAATAGAGGGCTTCATTGGCAAATCTAAGAACACTCTCTGTATAAATAAGATTGACCATTTTAGTAGCTTCCACAACTTCGAATATGGAGATACCGGTCTGAGAGTTTGGAAATGTTATGGCATCGGTAAAGGGAAGCACATTCCATATGACGTAATTTATATCAAGCATCAAGGTCAAACGTCAAAAGGAAACAGAGAGTACAACGCCATTGTTTGAATACTCTGTGTTTGGATGTGTTGAAGTGTTCAAAATCTTTTCGCAGCTAGAGCTGCACCTGGACGTTGGATAGCATACAGTCAGCAGGTTAAGCCAGTATGATGCAATCAAAAGGGACTGGGCCCTTAAGTTCTCGTCGATAGATACCGCTGGTATCGAGTGTTCGAGCTGTTTGTTAGGTTCCAGTACACCACTCACTTCTCCCGTGGATACTTCGCCCCACTCGTCTCTACGAACAGGATGGGCCGTAAGCAAACCAAGGGGCAGCATTAGATTTTCAGAGAAGGTAAAAAAATACCTAACGGCACGGTTTAAGCTTAGAGAAAGAACTGGCCGGAAGGTAGACCCCACCCAAGTTGCAGTGGGCATGCAAAATGCGAAAAGTGAATCAAATGCACGTTTGTTCATTAGAGAACAGTGGCTAACAAAGAGCCAAGTTCAGAGCTTTTTCTCCCAGCTAGCAGCAATGCTGCGAAAATACAGGGTGTGATCGGGATATCGCTGGATGAGGAGGAAGATGTCCAATGCGTCCAGGAAAATTCCGAGAGACAAGATCTGGTAGACAAAGTTAACAAAGAGATCAAAGTCTCACATCCAATCTGCTACGACACGTAAGACCTCTGTGAACGTTACTACAGTAACGCACTTAAGAAATTCAATGTGGTTTTGTTGAGAGTCATCTGGAGGCATTTTGAGATCCCTGCACAACTTCAGTAGGTACTTATTTTTCGTTCTCAAAATCTGCCAACAAGGGTGAGATTATGTTTATCTGCTTAGTTAAGTTAGTAAGTGCAGTTTTGCGATTTTCCTTTAACCTTTGAATCTCAAATTGCCCACCTTTTTCCGTTTTTTCGTGCGTCCACGTGAGTTTCTTCAGCAACTACGATACCTGTTAAGTGTCATTGTCTGAGAAAGTGTTCCAGGGGCCAAAACTTGTGGTCAACCGATTTGGCTGAAACTTGGCACAGAAGTTGGTTGCCATGAGATATTTCAAAAGCCAATCTGGCTCACTTCTCTGACTTTAAATTTTAGAGTTTCAGGGGGGGTCTCATTTTTTGCTCTTTGAGCACAAAAAATCCATCCTTTCAGGGGTCATTTTTTAAAGTGCCATAAAACCCAACTGGTAAATTGTGCTGCCAAATGAATTTGACTATG